AGCATAGTCTGGTGGAAGCGCGACTCTGGAAGTTGTCAGATCGAAGTAAATATTTTGGTTGCCTGCAGAAAGGAGTTGAGTTGAATTCTAGGCATAACTCTGGACGTTAATTCGCCGAAAAACAGACTTTCTGCGTAATGAGTGTAGGAACACGACGCGGAAATTTATTTGACAGCATTAAAAGCGTTTAAACTATTCTTTATGTATTTATTAGATATTTTGGATGCAAATTGAATATTAATCATGCTAAAACAAATGTGACATTTTATTTTTTGAAGAGAAATATTATTTACTATAAATAATATTTTAAGTAAAAGCTTGGTTGAATATCTCGACAACGATCCAATTTTAGTTACAATATTTGATTATTGCAATTATAATATGTGAGCCTTATGTATAAATAACATCTTCTGATGCCCTGCTGTAATTTTTGCTGATATCGATAAGAACTTGAGAAGTATTGATTTTTAACGACTCATCGATTTAGAAAAACTGCGAATCTCGTGATCGTCTTACATCTGCCTCGCTCGTGAAATCTCCATTAAACATCTACGACGTGCGTGCGTGATAAGGCATCGGCTCTTCGGCCAAATGGTGGCGCGATGTCTACATAAGTACCTCTCGTTCGCCACGCCATTGTCGGCTAGCTGAGATTCAATCTAACTGAAGCGAATTCCCAGTATCTCGAGTACTCTCCTCGACGGCAGGACAAGATGTTCGCGGATGCAAAGTGTAAATCTCTCGGTGCTAATTGAAACGACGACGCGCGAAGGAAACGACCAGCGGTGTTGAGGGGATTGGATGAGGTCGCTTCGTTTCCTCGACAGTACGATGGCAAGGAAATTTTTTCTCACTTTTTTCTTTCCTTCCCGCATTTATTTCTTTTTTTTCCATCCTTTCTTGCATTCCAGACGTTTCGCAACGTATATATTCGCTGAAGTACCACGAGTAGAGTTCAGTTTCATACCACTGCGAAAAGGTGACGACACTCGACTGTATTACGTCGAATAAAGATGACGAATAGAGGACTTGAAGAAGGAAAGTGTTACGAAAAGAAGCAATTCTTGCATCAGTTCGTCGTATCTTTTCGACTTTTGAGGTTTTTTAAATATATTGGCAGGTATCTTCTCGCTTTTAATAAATGCCTTATTAGTTTTAATTTACAGGGTGGCGCACTATCGTCATACTATATTTGTTTTATATATAAGACCTTTGTTCATAATGTGTCATTTTCACTTCCGTCTAATTTCAATTTTGATATCATACCTAATAGAATTATTACGCAATATAGAATTTACTCACATAGTTAAAAGAATCGATATGTCACAAGTATAGTTTAATGGGATAATTAAACGGTATGACGTTTCGTGCGCTCTGTATGAATATTTAACAGATACTTTATTGGTCTTACAGTTAAAAGAATCGATATACCACAAGTGTAGTTTTAATGACATAATTAAATGGTATAACATTTCGTGCGTTCTGTATGAATATTTGACGGATATTTTATTGGTATTTTTGCGATCATGATATATTCAATTTATTATCCTCTGTATATCTGTAAATTTTCGTAAAAAGCACTATTCTTTACGTAGATATGAGAATCACAATGCATGGTTGAAAAGTACTTTCTTTTCACGCGCCTTTACTCTTCATTTAAAAAGCAACGCTTTGATCGTTCGCGTTGCACAAACTCGGTGGAAACAAGATGGATAAAGAGAACGAAGAAGAAATGGAATAAGAGAAGGAAAAGAAAGAGAAATGTGGTTCGGATATCTACGTGACGTTTTGGACGTGATCGTCCGGAGGAAAATCTATCCTGCTTTTATTTTCGATCCCTCGAATGCCCTTCACTTTCCCCTTCTTTCGTCTGCATCTCGAGTGCTGCTATTCATTCACGAAGGTTCTCTCGAACCACCGAGCACCCTCGCACTCTGGTTGGAATGCAATCATTTGGGACGCGGTGATTCCACGAGAATACAAATTCAACTAGTACGTTCTCTCCGAGGCGCGCTTGTGTAAGCGATTTTATATTGATAATGGCGTCTTAGATCTTTTTCATTAACGATTATTTGTACGTCTTCTAAATCCTTTTTACCGCCGTTTCCTCTCTTAAGGAGCTTCTTTTAATCGTTCAATTACACGCAGGAAGGCTGCGTTTTATAGTAGATGCACGGTGCAAGCCGAGCTTGCCACTTGCCCCGGCTCGTAATTATCAGGCCGCGTAACGTATCGTGTCTCATTAAACCGAGCTGTAAAGTTGGCGCTAAGGAAACATGGAATCCTCGTTGGGACAACTTGTTGCTGTCGTAAAAAAATCATTTTCTTGGGGACATAAACGTTTGTTTACGATACAGTACTTAAACTTTAGTGCCACTCGTTTGAATCGCTTCCTTTCAAATCGAACTCGCCACAATTATTTTTCAAATTTTCTACTTGACTATAAAAAAAATTACAATAATTGATATACCACTAATCAGTAGTATATAAGCGGATAGAATATACAGCACGTTAATCGTTTCATGTGACACATTATCTTGCGGATCACTAGCTAACAATATCACTTTGTATCTCATCTTTGCCATTTTTCTGTTTATTCTGTCGCAACAATGACAAACGCGAGTAATTTAATTAGCATTATGATATTGTCATGCTGCAGAATATTAACTGTAATAACGGCAATACGTCACGATAATTGCAATTAGCATGATCTAGTTGCGTGTGTTTCACATTGTCGTATTAAATCTATTATTTACTGGTAAATGAAATGCATTATCACTTTTAATTTGCTAAATACTTAGTTAATTTTCAAATGTTTATTTTTGTAGATTACATTTTTGTCAATTACAGTGGAAACGAGATTATATTTAGAAAAATAAATAGAAAAATACTCATTATAGTATTATAAAAAAATTATAACTGTGGAAATATGTTTATTTAAATTTAAATGTGTCATTGAAAAGAATTTATTGAATTATGTTAAAATATATATCTTGCTATAAACGAAATATTTCGAGACTGGCAACTTCCCTTTACATTGTACAAAGAGATGCCGTTGTTTAAGGAGGAATGCGGCCATTGGCGCGTGCATACACGCATAGTAATGATGCGTTGAAGTCGCGTGGAAGCTCTGAAGGTATTTATTTGCAAACCTGGTATACACAAACGCGGTTGGGTGGTTGTTGTAGCATTCGGAGGGACCTCTCGACAACCGCCACTTAAGCGAAACGCCGGAGGGACGACTTCCTTTCCTTGTGTTCAATTAGTGCCGTGTACGAAATATCAATTCCATCGGTGGAAAACCCCTTATTCGCCATAGACCGAGTATAAATCTATATCGAAGAAAGGAAGTATTCGGACGTCTTTGCCTGATATGGAATTATTAAATTTAATTAAAAGTTCGTTTAATTCAATAATATATTATAAGTGTATTAACAACATCTGGATCTCCATTAAACTTTGTTGATTAATTCTACTATTCAATGGATTCGCATATTAAATTTAATTATGTTCGATACATGAAATTCTGTTTTCGATAAATATATGTTATCCCAATTTGAATATCAATAACATGCTTAAGGATGGACGGATATTATTATTCATCGTTTACGTATTACCTAAATACAAATCTGATGAATTTTTTATTACTAATTGACTCGTTTTAAAATAATATCCTATAATAAAACGCAATATATAAATAAATAACTATGTCGCAGATAGCGAACGTATATACATTTAAATAACATGCATGTATATACTTTAAGAACATATGTTACTTAATTTTTTTTATATACTCTTCCAAGTTTAGAAGTCTACTTTAGAAGTTAATGCAATTGAATCGAAACGATTTAAGATGATAATTTATAATATCACGAAGAGCAAGGACTAATTTTTTGAGATTTAATTAAAAATGTCCACTATTAACCACATAAACGTCTAAAATATAAAGATTGAATTATTGAGTTACAATAATCTAATGAATTATTTATAGCTGAATTGGAATATTTTAATAAATAAGACACAAATCTCTAAATAGTCTCTAATCTCTAAAATGTAGTATGGTAAGATTCAGTCTCTTGATTTCTTGCGTGATAGTTCAAAACTAGTTCATCGTTGATAGAAATGTATTCTGTAATATCTGAAGACTATGTTGAGAAATATGTACATATAATTAAAGGATTATTTCTGTGTTTTATTTATTAAAATATCCTAATATATTCAGAGTCACGAGTAATGCTTATGGAGGCATTACTTTTTATTTAATTCTTACAAAGAATTAATTCTTTACAAAAATTGATAACCTTTTAATATATGTATTTTATTCAGTAATCTAACGCTCTTCATTTTAATCGCGTCATTATTCTTGATTGATGTAGTTGTCGAAGATATTAATGCTGTATAAAACAATATTCCTCAAATAATAACAGAGTAGTAACGATATCATATAACCGCATTTCGACACGCGGATTAAATTTTGCGGTTTGCTTCCTCGATAGTGACGTTAATCTAATTTCGCGTGGGCGTTCATCCGTAAGTAAACCTTTAATTGTGTTGCAACAGAGCGTAACATGTTGTACAGAGATACGTATAAATATCACAGCCTTTCCATTCAGAAGAATTGACGATTCATTGATTTGATTTTAGCTGTCACGCACAACTCAAAATTGACATCGCGCTCGATTGTGATGTTTTTTGCAAATTTTGAACTGTGTAATTCTAAATGCGATGTGAAGTAATTCAGCTTCGAGTATATCGACGAGCTTAGAGCATATCGTATTTACGATATTAAATCCAATTAGAAAGTTACATTTTGTAACTGGTAGCACGCTTCGCCCTCTCACACTTACCTTCCTAACTCACATTTGTTTTGCGTTCAGCTTTAGGGCATATCTGCCTCATTCCTGCTCTCTCTTTCTCTTAATGCACCCCCTTCTCCGCATGTTTCCCACGTATTTACCTTTTACATTAATAATCTCGTACCTCTCTCGTTTGCGTTGCAGAATATGGACGTAGCTAAGGCCTCCGAGCGTCTTCTCAAGCTGGCGGTGAGTATGCATACATGTATCTAGATACATATATATATACGTGCAAATTTATAAGCGTGTACCATGTGTCCGAAATAGATGGTAAGTCAACCATTTTAAAAGCTTTGTTGCGAGGTAAACTTAGAGGATGTCTTCAAAGGCGGCAAATTTTTTTTTTTAATATTTCATCAATTTAACATCATTGTTGCGAATAAGTAGACATTACTGCAAACATATAATTTATTACATAAATTATTAAACATTTGTATTATTTTAACATATATATATATATATATATATGCTAAGAGAACGAAGATAATAATATACAGAAGTTTAGCTATCGAACGGAAAGTTTTCTACACAAATAATCATCTTATTTGGTCAAAGCAAGTCTTGGCGCTGTAATATTTTATGTGTGAATTTTAGTTACCAGTTCGAGCAAGTTTCCTTACGATTACACGGAAAAAACGATTTTGCTAAAGTTACTGAAAATTTAGATAAGTACAGATCTGAAAATAACTTTGTTAGACCATCAACATAATTACCGCAAATGTAAGTGACTTGGGACAGCGTAGGTAATTTGGGACAGCATGTATTTTTGTTAAATTTAATCATGGATCGATCCATGATTAGATTTAACAAAAATACATGCTGTCCCAAATTACCTACACTATTTCAAGTCACCTACATTTACAGTACGTATAGGAATTTCATGATAAGTAAATGCTACAAAAAGTTTTGATAGTCTAGCAACAAGTTTGTGCGCTCTACATAATTATTTTGATGGTTCAACAAAATTATTTTCAAATCTGTATTTAGCTAAATTTTTAAATACTCCAGCAAAATTGTCATTTTCGTGTAGTGATAATTTAGATTTATCGTCATATTGCGATACTGTTTTTATATCTTATTTGCGAAGAAAAGAGAAAGACAGTGTATATAGATACTTTCAACTTTCAGTGCTAGATTTTCGCTCTTTTTCCTCAATATACTTCTTACGAAGAAAGTCTCGAGGCAATATTTGCGAATTCAATCTCTCCCCTCCCGCAACAAAACGCAGTTTCCACCTGAGTTTTGTTACGATTACGAGCTTGTTCGACAGAACGCGGGATAGAGAAAACTTGTATTAAACTACGTGTCGTCGATAAATGCTGCGCTTAATATAACGCGTTGTAAATCTATTCCGTACATAAGTCTGCAAGCTGGCGCTAACTTTCTTGTACGAACATTTACCAAGAACATAATCCGGAATACTTAAGATAGAATTTCCAAATAGGTAACAAGAATATTCAAAATCCTTAAGATTATTCATAACTGTTCTCGCTGATTCGATGCTGTATATTTCATTCGTCAGTTTATTCACTTATGTTCTTTCAATGGTTCTTTTTTTTTAAATCTGAAAGAATAGAATGTATGAGAGTTAGCTTCAATGTTCTTGGTTAGTGGATCTTTACTTTACAATAAGTTGGATCTGTTACACGTCAGAAAATAAAATAAACTATCCGCGGAAACGTGAAATAGAAATGTTGTGTTTCTTCAAGGAAGAGCGAGTTTAGAAAGGGATACAGAGAGGATTCTGTAAGAGCTTCAGGGCCCTCGCAGGAAGTACGCCGGAATCTATGAATTCCTGATTTAAGTTTCGTCGTGCGTCGGCCGTATTCCCGTGACGCTTCCGAGTGAAATATGCACGCTCGACGATGGAAAAAGGTCGTTTGTCGCCAACTCCGCAGGGAGATCGATGCACAACGATATGCCGAAGATGTTTCGATACTTCCGCGATTCGCCTGTTTTTTCTGCCACTATAAAAGCAGTTGCTGGAAAGTGAATATCGGAACGGTATAAATCTATCTAAGAGAACATAATCTTTTTTGGAATAACCGGTTATGCATTTTTATAGAGTCTACATAGAAGCCTTTACTTTCAACGATAGCTTCTTGTTGAATTTCAAGTCGATCTTTTCTTCGCCGTAGTTTAATCTTGAAACTATTGGTAATCTTGGAAAGAAATTTTTTGTAAAAAATAAACCTTCTCTAAAATTATTTTAGCATTATAGAAGATTAATTTCTTTCGATATTCCAGTTATATTATATAGCTGTTATTCTTTGTATTTTTAATTTTTGTGATAAAATAGATTAGATAGTCTTTGTATTTTTATTTCTGTTATCTGCAGTTGAACGAATATACTATTAATTTCTTTCGGTATATTCAAGTTATATTATATAGCTGTTATTCTTTGTGTTTTTAACTTTTGTGATAAAATAGATTAAATAGTCTTTGTATTTTTAATTCCTGTATCTGCAGTTGAACGAATATACGATTGCTTCCTCCGCACATCGAGAACGTATAACAAAAAGAAAGTAAAGAACTGAAAAAATGGATTAGTATATGTGCAATGCAATAGTTTGTTCATGCGAGCGTCATAGCACTCATCGTGTTCTTGCATCGCGCGCCGACACGCTTCGCTACTCTTCGACATTCAGACCGGCCCAGGCGATTCCGGATCCGTTCGTCCGCCGTTGCTTGTTATTCTCTCGTTAGCCCGGTTGCTCCGGATCGGAACTAGCCGGCCGTAGTGTTTCGAGTGCTGGGCGGAGTTCAGTGAACCGAATTCAATTATATAAATTCGTCCCAAAGCGACTGTCCTCGGAAGCGTGTATAACGGCGCGCGGTATAAACTAGCCCGTCGCGTCCGGCCGCTCGGTAGACGTCGATTACTCGCGATTAAAACAGTAGACCGACGGTCGTGCATGACCGAGTTTTGTTATGGAACTTTCGTTCACTTCACGTTAATTGATCCGACTGTGCTCCACTGTTAATTATCGGCCCGTTCGTCTACTCGCCGACTTTTATCATTGAGGCACCTCAACGCGCGACTATAATAGGGATGTAAAATAAATACGTAAGCTTTATTATATTTACGAAAATCTTAAATATGACTATATACACATATGATACAGTTTTAATAATTTGTATAATTTGTATTCTAAGCTCATTCTACGATTACATTAGCATATTTGTAAGTGATTGCAAAATTGACCAATCATAGTCGATAGAATATGAGGAGAATATTCAATTGTGATTGGTCGATTCTTACACAGAGAAAAATGTCCAAGTATTGCGAAGCAAATGTTTCTTTAATATTTATCAGTTACGAAAAAATTTGATTTTCATGACGAAATATACATTTCTGTGAAATATATCTCATTAATTGTAAAAAAAATATAATTACTTATTTGCGCTAGAAATCAAATTTTATTTCGCCATATTTAAATAAAGATTTATTTCAGTGAAATAAATATGTTTCTCACAGATCAATTTTTAAGTCTTTTCTCAGTATACAGCTACAATCATTTACAACTATGCTTGTGTAATTGTAGAATGGGCTTTATAGTGTTTTAACGTATTGTAAAGTTTGATTGCAGTTGATTTATCTATTCGTGATACATCAACAAATCAAAAATCAATAAAATACGACGAATTTAGATACTCTAGAGCAAATATACATAGTAAAATAAATTTAAGCGCACAAAAAAAATCCTGTTTAAATGGATATTAACTTCTTCAACTCTAGTATTCTTTACTTGGACTAGAATAAAGTCTCAAAATAATAGTAACATTGGCTATTGAAACAGAAAAAAGCTTTTGATGTATCTTTTAATATCATGCGATAGAGAGAGGAAAACACACACATACACGCACACACATGTACGTATACCAGCCTCAGGGCAAAATAAATTTCTTCGTGTAAAAGTAACCGTTCCTTTCCACCAAAGCAAGGCAAAGGATTGCTCATTTGCGACAGTCGCGACATTCTATTTATCCTTGCGCACGTGGAGGAAAAATAATTGTTTGCCGATCGCCGGACCAAGTCCGTCCCTCGATCTTTCGCGCACCCTTACTTTTCGTTTACACCGCAAATAGCCGCGAGGGACCGTGGACCTCGGGATCAGTGTGACCGTCGTGGGTTAATTGCGGTTCTTATGTACGAGGGTGGCACCGGAAGAAACAGGGCGGAACTGCAATGCAGGACGGGACTTTAATCTCGTCGTAATGGGGAAACGCAATTTTCCCGCAGTTCGCTTTGCCAATGAGACCCTTTCTCTCTTCTGCTCCCAGCTCTCTTTCTCGGCTCGATCTCATCTTTTGCACACGCCCGCGTGTCAGTGCCTCGTTCCGAAATCCCTTTGACTTTGAAAATCACCCGAAGTGCAAAACGACTGTAATGGCCGATTACCTCGTCGCTTTTATCTATCGATCACAAGGATTACAATATAGTGATGGGCTCAATCTAATTTCTGATACAATCCTCGACTATGTAAAACATATTCGTGCCTCATTAAATATAAATATGACTTTTAATAATTGGTCATGTCAAGAGAAATGTCAGAATACTGTAATGTTATTTTTAATATCTTTAAAATATTTTTCACCAATGAGATATAAATAGCCAAGTCTTCGTAATTGATCAATCTACCCTTAATGCGAGTCTTTTCGAACAATCTTGAGTGGCAATTTCGATTATATTCAACATTTGCATACTTTGTGAAATATATAACCCCACTCTCTCGCTCGCGAGCCAATAGCTGACTCTCTCGATAAAGTTAAAAAATTCAATCCGCCCTCATTTACATTCTCTATCCCGACCGTTATTACTGGGTTATACCTTTCACATGTTAATGTCCTTCTAGACCTAGTAAGCGTAAACGTCTCCGATAGACAGGTACACGTCGTGCACCCTCGGGACATGGAGAGAGAATGGCAGCTGAGGGGGAGGGTAATGTCAGCGATCGGGAAGAAAATGGAAAATATCGATTGCCAACGTAATGCGATGCACGCGCTTAGGCAGGTCGACTTATTCTCCTACTTTTTTTTTTCCTCAACGACTACTAATGATGCGGATACGTCGATCCGTATTACGTGCATGTAGAAAATCTCACGGATCGTCCGCAGCGCCTCGTAATACGATATTCCTGCATTATCGATGAAAATCGACTGCCGGATGGTGCACGTAAGCCAAGCACGCATTAATGTTATGCGGCCGGCGATGGGATCAAGCACGAATCGAACGGTATTGCTGGTTTCTTGCATGGGAATCAATGTTTGAGTCGCGCATCAATATGAATGAACGCTCTCCTGTTCGCGCGACTCGTGGATAATATTTTATAGGAACTTTTTGCTAGTTTCAGGATTATATTTCTTCCTTAAATTGATCAATAATCTGTATATAATTAACTTGATAAAAAAAAGTGTCTTCTCTCTAAATCTTAATCAGCGAGTGATCAATAATTACACAGTGGTATATCACAAGTATAACCTACAATCGGGCTAATAAGAGTCGACGCGAGCGGAGGTGCGTAATAAATTCTCAATAAAATAAATTTGTCAATCCATGTGATGTGTTGGAACCAACTTTATTTGAATTCTTGAACGTTTCGATTCTCTTTGGAATCTTCATCAGTAATCATCTTACAACTATATTAGACAGTGGTATATACTTGGCACTGGATAATCATTGAAATTCAACTAAAAAAGAAACAGCATTCTATAATTAAAATACTAATATTATATCTGCACGTTTATTTCATCTTCTTTATACACTAAAACATTTATACACTAAAACAAGATTGATTAAATCAAATAATAATGATTAGCTAGTTTAGGGATTCCATATTTTATTTACTGATTATGACATTGACGTATTATTAGGACCGATATCAGTAATTATTCACTGATTCAGATTTAGAGAGTTTAAAGAGAAAAGAGATGGATTACGACTATGCATTTCTGATAATGCACGGCTAGATTTCAATTTCAAAAGATCTAAAAATTCAAAGATTTATATGTATCTAAATATTTATTAAAATAGATATATAAAAATTCAAGGATTATCAAAAGATGCAAGTTTTCAGAATTCTAACTATATAGATATATATGATGTATAAACGAGAATTTAAAGAATTGAATATCTGAAGAAATCAATATTTTTCTATCTTCAAAGTTTCTTACTATCGGCGAAACGCTATACACTTGCGTATATCCTTTGGGCGCATCTTTATCCTTTCGGAAAAATTTTACATCTCTCATATAACTGTCTGAAGAGAAAGCACTTCCTTTTTAGGTATCCTCTGGTCAAAAAAGCAGCTTAAAGTTTACCGCTTTTTCCTTTGTGGTATCGTCGACGTGTCTCAAACGATTCACTGGCTTCTGCTGTAGTCTCTGTGCCACTATCTTTTTTCCCCTCTCCGTAGATCTCAACCCTCTTTCTCCTTCGGTAGCATCCCCAAGTAAACGAAATTAAAACGCCGAGGTAAGTTTTCCCGGACTACGTGGACGCCGGAAGAGGCTGCTATAGGAACCAGGAGGAAGTGCTGAGGGCTTTCTGTCCTTTTTTCGCGAAAGTGCCACGAATGCCTCGCGGCACAAGAGACTTGACCTTTGTGCCTGGCAACATTATTAAGTCCTTTGCCTCGCGTGAGAGAGCTCGGTGGAAGCACGCGGATGATACCACGACTCGGCAGCCTCGAAATGGCATCCGAAACGAAATAACTTCGAAATTCTTCGTCATGAAAGCAAGCGGTACGTCGAGAAATTTTCGCGAAAGTATTTGTATGATACCGAGGTCGAGCCCATATCCTTCTTTATTCTTTTCTTTATTCTTTTTGTCGCTACTTCTTTGATGCGGAAACATTTATTTCGGTTGTCGTTGCACCACGAGAGGCATGAATGTCGAGCATAGAAGAAAAATAATCAATTTTAAAGTTGAAATAAAAAATATAGGTATGTTAAAGAATGAAATAATAATATATCTACATAGCGATGAAATCACGTGTTGCTTTTTCTTTAGTTTTTTGAAGATATTTTAGAAAAGGAAGCATACATTAAGAAAATATGACTATAATAAAATACACAAGGACTTTTAACGTAGTATCGTATTATGTACGCGATAAATGATCAAAGACTCGGTCTAAGTCACTTCCATTAAAGCGTAATTAAAGGAACAGACGGGATAATTTATAAGTTCGTTATACAGTCGCCTCACTTTCATTTGCAGATGCGTAAATAATACTGTAATACGCTCGTCTCCGCGCCCTGATTATCCTTGTTTTAGTTAACTTTTTTAGTGTCATTATGGAGTGTCACATTTTATTCAGTCCATTAAGAACATGATACATTGCATATGTATGTGCATGAGAAAGCTTTGATAATTTTTTTGATCTTTTTATAATCGCGGCTTTTTTCCTTGCCGTTTGCATTTCAAACGCATCTTACTACTCTTACACGTGTTTTTCGTTTGCGAGAATTTTTATATTACTGTTTACTCCTTTTTTTTTAATAAACGTATCTTCTATTTTTAAATAATTCTCAGGATTTAAATATCTTGAGGAAGAAAAATATAATGTCTCGTAATATCTAATTAGAAACTTATGATTATAAAAAAATATTTAAAATGTATTGCATATTTAAAATAAATCTACAATGAAATATCATTATTTCTACGCATTGTAGAAAATAAAAATATATCTAAATTATCAACTTCCTGAATCGTTGAAGAAAACTTACGCAGGTATCTGTCTACTTACGATTACTTTAAGTTACGGATTTTTGGACTTACGATCGATTCGCTAAGAATTAGAAAAGACGAAAGTAAGTTGAACTGAGATTAAAATTAATCTACATTGATGTAAACCGGTATTAACTTACTTTTTCACATAATCTTATAATTATTTATGTTCAAAATGGTTAGTAATATAAATATTTCTAAAAGAGAAAAAATAACAAACATTTAGGCCTATATTCAGAACGCGCTTTTATCAACAAAAGCTCGCTTTTATCTATAAAATTATAGCGTAAACTATAACATGTTAGCGCGCTTAAATTCTTGTAAGCGCGTTCTGAATACGAACCTTAGTATATTATATGATTACTATTTGACTTATGATCGAAGTCTCCCCCTTTGTAAATAGGAAGATACCTGTATTGTACTCTGTAAATAAAATCGTGAATATATTTATGAATTTGATATCAAAGTAGAATCGTTTTTAAAAAAATATATCAATGTATTAAATATTTATATATTTTAATATTACATATTTAAAATTCTATTTTTGGAAACGAACAATCGAAATTTCGAATTCATAAAATATTGACAAAGTAATTTATATATAAGTAATATTATATAATATGTATTAATATTAATATTATATAATACGTATTAATATTAATATTATATAAAAATAAATTTAACATAAATGAGTGAAGAGGATCATATTCCGTCATGGCGAGTCTTTTGGTGTTTAATAGTATGTGTGTAAATTTTTACAATTTTTAGTTTAAAAAATTGTGCGCCGATTATTTGTCAGTCTTAAAACTTATTGTTAAATTAAAGCTAGAATGTAATATCACACGTTAAAATGACAAGCAATTTAATATTATTAATGCTAATAAGCATTTTTTAAGTATTGTAAATAATTTATTGTGAAAAATATCATCTCAGCTGCGATTCGAATCTGGATCTTCTGAATTCCGTGTGGACATCTTACCAATTTGATCATCGAGACATAAATAAGTTTACCTTATATTAAATAGCTTAATATACATTCTATTCTTGGCGAATTAAAGCTCTTAAAGCTCCTTCTTGATTCTGTTATAAATTACATTCTGCGGGTGACATTTCATTCGTGCGTTTTTGTCATACGATAAATTTTTCAAGCCTGTTGATTGGCTATGGGATAGAGAGATCTGAGGAGCTCTCTATTCTGTACACATTTGTCGTACGACAAAAACGCACAAATGAAATAGCATCCTGCAACTGTAGTGATTCTAAGCATTTACATTTACATATTAAATTTTTTTATTGTTTCAGATACCAAATCATCTAGTATGGCTTTGCTTTTTCTACTTGACATTTCACTCCTTTCTCAATCTGTTGGGCGAGTTACTACACTTTGCAGATCGGAATTTTTACAGTGACTGGTGGAACGCCAACAATATCGATACGTTCTGGAGAACTTGGAACGCGCCGGTGCATCGCTGGGCTGTGCGGTGAATAAACCGTTTTATTCATAGCAATACTTGATATCAGGAGCTTCTTTATTATAATTTTTATAAAATTAGTTGAAAATAATTGTTCAATCGCGCTATTGTTATTACATATTCAGCTTATTGAGAGATAAAAATGCAGTTTTCATTTCACTTTACATTAATAATAACGACTGTTTTTTAAATTTTTATAATTGATATAGACAAATATGTTTTTCATTTAAAACATTATTAGTTATATTATCAATTGAAATATTGCCATTTTTAGAAATGATAACATGATTATCGTTATATTCTTAGTATATTGATGACTGAGTGAATTATTGCAGTAACAGGATTTATTATTAGAAAGAGCTCATTAATTGTAGGAAGGAACATGATAAAATGACAGCTATGATCGAATTACTAATATATATTATTAGAAAGTCTGTTAAGAAAAAATATGAAAAATGATAATATATAGATAGTCGTTTATTGAACGAAGTTGAATATAATTAATGAATATATGCGCATAAAATGCATGCAGCCAGATGTTTTCAATGCATAGAAACTTCTTTTCTTTTACATAGACTGAACGTTAGATCACATTATCGTTATTGGCGAAAAATGTAATTGAATCTTCTTAAAGAGGAGCATACTTATTAACGAAGTTTAACCTCGGTTAGATTGAACAGAGGAAAGTCGATCAAAGATCCGACTTGTAGTGACGGCCCTATCTCTTCACTTCTTCAACCATTTTTATCTCTTTCTCTCTCTTTCTCTTATATACCACTCCCTTATGCTATTTACCCTTTGCCATCTCTCCGTTCCGTAACACTCAGCTTCTCGCGTACCTACCTTCTACGTTATAGAAGGAAAAACTCTTCCGGCGCTTTACTTTGCACCTTTGACTTGGCTGTAGAGATAACATGATTATATAATAATGCAATACGCGTCTCGCTGAGGTTATTTCACAGCTATGACCATCATTTCAACGTAACATTCGTGCATCGTCTCAGTAATTCCCACACGCCTTACCTATTACATACAAACATCAAGTAGATGAAAAATGTCGGTCTCTAACACTTTTGTGTACTCAATTTTCTTTGTGTAAAGTTGCAAAAATTTCATTAACCTAATAAGCTTGTTGATGTAAGAATAGCTCGAGTTTTTACGTACAAATACGTGCATATTCGCACAACTATATACATGTATGAAGACATTACGTGAGACATTATATGAGAGACAGTTTTTCGTTTTATAAGAATGGGCTTCCTTGCGAAAACCTTTTATTCCGCCTAAAATGTCTCCTTCAACCCATACATCTCAGCTGTCGCCGCCACATTAGATTATACATCCCCCGCTCAATACAATCAGCGAACTTCCGAAAGACTTTTCCGGCGGGCCTTCCATCTTCTACGGTTACCCATCGCACGTGCACCTAACAACTCGAGCCCATAGTGACGACCTCCTTTCAAGAACGCGCCGGTTCTTTGTACTTCAAAAGTAGCCCAAAAGAAAGTTTAAATCCCTGTAAAAGTGGCCGTACGAAGTTCTTATTATGTGACCGAGAGAAAAGGGAATCGTCGGAATTGCCACGTACAAACTGCACAAGGTTTACCATGAATGTCGTGTAAAGAGTCAATCTACTGCTTTTCGTGTAGAATATTAGAAATTTCGTCACGGGATACTTTGAGATTCTTACAAGGGCTCCACGTTTTTCTTTGATATCTCATAGTATTAAGCTCGAATAATATTTCTGTTGTGAAGAAACTTAATTTGATCACGCTAAAGAAAGCCGCGTTATTCAAGTTAGTTCCGACAGACATGACGTAATGTGGAATAGTAGCCACCACTGCATAACAAGAGCGGGATTGTCTTATAGCATACCCTTATAAAACGCGACACGTACCGTGAGAATGACTGGCCATGCTCCCTTTTTAAATGACATAAAAATGGAGAAAAATAGGGATCGCTAAAGAGACGCCGTGCGAGTTTTCGCGACATGAATTTCAAACCCAGGCGCTGCTCGCGTTTCCTTTTTACCTCGGCAACGCACCTACCCGCTTACGTCGCTCGTCCGTTTTTTTTTTTTTTTTTTCACCATGACTGAGATACGCAGTTGCATTTGCAAACTGCGACTGGCACGCAGCCATAGTATACGCGGCAATGTGCAGGGTGGTCGAGGTGAAAATGGAAATGCTCCCCAGAGCGAGAGGTACGACGACGCACAGAGGTGTGTCGTTGTTGACGAGAACGTTGAGACCACTGCCGACGCCTTTTCAGGTTTGTAATGGGAAAAGCCGATACGCATCGCGATGCGCACTTAAGGCTGTTTATTCCCCGCGGCGCTTATAATACCTACATAACTGGAGATATTCCCGAACGTCTTGCGCGTAGGAGACGTTCGCTTAGGTTGAAGGAAAAGAAAGCACGATGCAATGCGGAAGAAGGATCTGGCGGCAGCAAGAGTTCTGAGAATGCGGCGAAACGTGCATGGCCCGAAATCCTTAGAACTGTCGTCGTCCCACCTTTGAATGTTCTCTACTTCCTGCTGCTTTCTTCTCATATTCTTTTTTTTTCCGTTCTCTCTCTTTCAGTACGTTCTTCTGCATTTTTGCTCTCTTTTCGATGCATCTTCACTGATAGCCAAGCGGCTAACGACTCTTTCCCGAGTTGCTCCGATCCTACTTGTTCGGCCATACAAACGAAAACGATAATGGTAGAGTGTTGCCAAACCGAAATGTTGCGAAACTTTCCTGAATATTGCTTTAATTTTTTGGAGCGACTTCGCGCCGTCGTACTTTTTGTTTGCCTTATCGGCCTAACGACTTTTGCATTCTATAACACAACTACCATCTGAGAGCGCGGATACCATAGAAATGCGTATTCCTTTGTGATAATAGTATTATCGGCATATAATAAACGAAATGTGCTCTAAATAAACTTTTTCCGGGTGCGTTACGATTAGAATCAGAATCTTTAATTCGATTGAACCTTTTTAGATCGTTTTTTATTATCGAATGTGCAATTTTGCCAGACTACGTGACCGATATAAAAGTATCACAGGACAGGAACAAAAAAAAAGAATTTATATGATTCTAATATAAAAATACTTTTTGCATTTTATTTTTAAACAAAATCTATAAATGAAAATTTTATTATATTACATTCTAATATATTAAGATATTTTTGTCATTATTGAATTAACGATTAATGTAATTTGTGATGTTATTTCCAGCTTTAGTTTATGATTATGATTCAAGTTCGATAAACCGAAACGACGTGCAGTTTATAAATTGAAAAATTTATTTGCAAAGCTGCATATGAATATTATTAAGCACCAAAATACTTTTTAACCGAAAATAGGATATATTTTTTTTGTTAAATTTCATTATCTGATTGCGGTTTAAGCTTAGTAATTTTATTAACTTTATTAACATTTGCTTTGAGACTCAACTTCACTTAACTTGATGATAATGTAAAAATTGTGTTTTTTTTATAGCTATGATTAGTCACTAAATTAATGGTTTCGTAACTTTACAAGTTATTTACTACAAACCCATCAGTAATTAACTATAAATAGAAAAATACGATTTTTACTATCAAGTTAATTCTAACCGCATGTTAACCAACAAATGAAAAACAGGGCCTTAATTAATTTACTCTTAGCGGCCTAATTTCCACTTATAATTTGAATACATTGCATTTTATTGATGATATATTTATGTTACAGACATCTCTATATTCCGGTAGTAGAAATGGGCTATGGTAAAACCACGGCGGCGTTGACTGTCTTCTTTATTAGCGCTTTCTTCCACGAGTATCTCGTCAGTGTTCCCTTAAGGACGTTCAAGATATGGGCGTTTATGGGTATGATGGGGCAGGTAAGAACTCCTTGCTTTCGCTTTGCGCCTCTTATTGATAGTGCAAATATTGACTCTATTGTCAAGAAATTTTTGTTGATTTCTCAAAGACTCTCTACGGCTTTACACAATAATATTCTGGATTGCTGAAGATTGCTGTTGGATCCTGAAAAATAAGATAAAGGATTCAGTCAAGCTGTAATTCCAAATAAATTAAACGCAATCAGAGAAAGAATATGTATAAAGAATATTATATAAAGTAGCTGGGGTTAAATTACTCTCTTAATAGACGTCGGTTAATATGTATTTAATTGTCATGTAGATTTAATATTCCGGGATTTCTAACGTTGCAACATCATTTGCTATGCTTTACATGAAATTACGTGATGCACTACATCTTGTATGCACGTACAAGATCTACCCTGTCCGTTCCTAAGTACGGAAATTCCGGTCGTGCAACGCTAATTGTTCATTCTAGATACCACTGTCGGTGTTGAGCAAGATGGCGGAACGATACTGCGGCGCCAGATGGGGCAACATCGTCGTATGGGCAAGTCTCATCATCGGGCAACCACTTTGTATAATGATGTATTATCACGATTACGTCGTAACGCATTTTGGCGAGACTCTGCTTGAGGACTATTCCGTGGTATAAGGGAACTAAAAAGAATGAAAACGCAGAAATGAAGAAAGAACTCTTCGAAGAAAACAGAAACTCGCGATCGATTTGTGACTTCTTCGCGAAACTGTTGATTCTTTTTTCATCGATCTCGGATTCACGTAACTTCCGGCTTGTATTTCGCGCGATAAAATTCCTCGAATCGTTATCCTGTAGTTTAATTTTTATGTGGCGATTTACATCCGTCTGTATATTTTGATAATACAAGTGCCTTAAACATAACTTCGCGCTGTATGAATGTTGAAGCGTCGAATATGAATGTCGAAGCGAAATCGAGATTATTGATGGATCAAAAATACTATTATATTATGTTTTTTAAGAATTTTCTAGTAATATTTGAAAGAGCTGTAAATAGTTACCAGCACCTATATTAGGTGTGTACAACAGAATTTAATAATTTTTGTACAGTAACTTCGCAGTCGTGCTTCCACGCCGGAAGAGGCGAAATTGTTATCGAATAAACAAGATATTTCACATTGGCCTTGTTGAATTTCGTCCCGCGTCCTTAAGAATGGTCACAGAGGGTCACTAGACTCGGGTATTAGATATCCTTTCAGCCGGAAACTAAAGGGCTGTGTCGTGGACCGTTGAAAAGACAGCTTTTTAAGGGCATAATTCGCACGTTCTTTTTCCTTAACCAATGAGGCGAAAATCATACGCTGGAATTTATTTCTTGGTACATATATCACTTTGTGTACCACTAAAAAGTAATATCTTTGTTAAATCTACCGAAACAATTATATAATCTATTGGACAAAGTATTTGAGTGGTTATTAAGTGAATGTTTTGAATCGTTTTGAAAAGTTTTATTTCATCAAATTAGGATATTAAATTAGGAAGATTTTTCTGATTAATTCATTGCGTTTAAGCATTACATATTTTTTTTTAAATCTCTTTGTAATTTTTTAAATATTTTTTTAACGCTAAGTGCATTACGTACTAATTATTATATAATATAATATAATCTTTAATAACAGTTAAATCTTTTTTCCGTTTGCTTAATCCGGGAGTAGTCATCTAATTTTTTTACTAAATAATTACCTGAACTGTTTTTAAAACAATTAAAATTACTCAATTAAAATTGTTAAAAATATATTGTATATTGTAAATTATTTTTTTATTTATTGTTATTAATACTATTTGAGAATACTATAGACTTAACCACAATTTTCTGAAAAATATAAATAAAAATAAAACAAATAATAAATGCAATAAACACGTTAAGTAATTTATTATAACAGTATTTCTAAAAAAATATATAGATTTTAATAAACAGAACGCTATTGTATTGCGGGTTTTTGATAGAATTGCACGTATATAAAGGTAAAGAACAATTATTTAAAAAAAGGGGGAATATGTTAAACCATCCATACAAAATAATTTGTTAAACATTCCATATAAATAATATTACAACGGATGTTAAACGATCCTTATAAATAATATTTTACAACAAAGTTAAATGTTTTCGTCGCTGAGGTGTAAAAAATATCCCAAGTAACTATTCCCGGATTAAGAATCTTATTGTAAACATTTCATAGGTCATCAATCAAAAAAAGCATAAAAATGCTGGTCAAATAAAACGTAGCTGGATAACCAATTGGTCGCTTGACAGAGATAGTTAGGGTCATGTCACGAACGAAGAAGTTTAACCCTCGAAAGAAACGCTTCTTTGAGCTCCGACTCTTTTTTTTTCTCTCCGATGAGTCTGGATACCATGATACGTGTGTCCCTACGATGGCTAAATTAATGATGCTGGAAGACTAACGGTCTAAAATACGGTTTGTGTCAGAATGATAGATACAGTGTCCACAAAAAGCGTAAATTAGCGACAGAATTCTGCTTTTAAGGTAAGTCGTAACCAATTTCTTTTTAGCGAATATATATAATTCAAATATATTTGATAAGACTAAATGTCATGATACATTATCACAAAGAATGTTTTGTGTTACTTTTAATATTAAGTCGCGACACATATCTTGATCTCTTAGGTATTAAGTAGATAAGGATTTTATGAGCATCCTACTGAATGTGATGCGTGTCGACCTTACTCAGGATCGCAATTTTCTAGAGCGACAGCACGTGTCGTACAAGTATATGTCTTGCCGTAAAAGAAAGTTGAATGTAATATCAGTCCTATAATGTCATCATACGTTGTTCATTCGTCACAGAAATATTAGATATGCTAGAGTTTAAAGAAATATAAAAGACATGACAGTATAAAAAAAAGACTTTTTTTTTCAAGTTCATTTTTCTTAAAAAAGAAACAAAATGTATAAATCTACAAATTAATTTACACGCTATATTAATATTTTCTGGATAATAAATATTATTGACATTTTTTATGAGAGAAATAGAAAAGTTTAAAATAAATATAACAATAGAGAGCTTAAAATAGATATAAAATAATAAAAATTTAACAAGTAGATACAATTTTACTTCTGCTGTTTACAGATATCTGGATGTGATTTAATTTTTTAATTGTGCACTGGTATAGCTATTATCCGTTACATTTAAAATTTTATAAATCAGAGAGCTATTGTAAAAAAAATATCAGTTCTTGAGAGTGGAATTTTATAATAATGAATTTATATAATTCAATTATCATTACGCTCGATTTCACAATTTTCTCTTAATTCGAGAGAATAAAAATGTATTCGCGCACAAAAAAAGATACATCTCCTTATCAAACTTGTCACTGTCGGAAAATCAGCGTTTTATCGATCAATTTTATACGGTGACGTAAATGTAAATGTCGGAATTAACTCGCTGACATTTAGAAATGTTCCGAACCATTTTCAGAGTTAAAGTTTCTTGTTGCACGGAGATGTATTTTCTCGCTAGTGAGGTACGCCCAATGTCTGTCGCTGCGCTCAACAAGTTAAATCTTATCAGCTCGCCGGTTTGACTTTAGCGTCATTATAACGGTTACCTCTTAAATTGGCATTTGCGCCTGACGCGGTAAATAACTTTGTTAGTGCCAAAACTCTCGAGATAGGGACACTTTTATCCCTTCAGCAGCTGCATTGTTCCGTCAACTGATCCGCGAGTCCGCCTGAGCGTGCCGTAAAAGAAATTACTTCTCTTTAGACGTAGGACTTTTAATTTAATTGCCTCAACGGGAAATGCGTTGTACGCTTTTTAATTGATCCTATATAAAAAAATGTTGAAAAAAAAATTCGCGCAAATATCTCGGCCATTTCTGAGGCACGTGGCTGACGTGTACCGCGTTACAATACCTCCGGAAGGGCTTTATGACGAACGACTTGGTCATTTACGAGGACGAAGCGTGAAATGTATATATAAGTACTGCCATGTTAATGTTATTTAGTGTCGAGTGTCCAGTGTAAATAAAATAATTAAAAAAAATAATCTCACGTGTCTCTCGAGTATTTTGCTACGGAACATTTCGTCACATGAATTTTTTACAATGGTTTTACTTGTCTGTTTTACCAGCGTCGAAGTTGCATAAGTTACGCAAAAAGATCAGTAACCCAAGTCAGATCTTTGATACGCGTATCCTTGAAACGTATCGTCTGCACCGATGGGACAACAATAAAGTGGCACGTCGCGAGCATAGGATACGGCGAAGCGTATTTTTCCGCTTTAATGCAATCGCAAACAAAGGATTGAGTAACCGAAGGAGCAGGAAGAAACCCATTCCCTCGCTCCTACCTGGTGGAGCTCGCAGCGTCAGGCGACGAAGCATCTCCGAAGAATGCATCGGTTGGTCCCTCGAACGAGCACTCGCGTTATCCCCCGTAAGGTGGGCCGTGAGAGGGTTGGGGGTTGTGCGAGGCGTTGGAGAGGGGAATGTGGAGAGAGAGAGAGAGAGAAAGAGCGAGAGTAGCGGCGGTGGTGCGGCGGACTAGGAAGGTGGAAGGGTGGTTAGGGGGCACAGGGGGCGCAGTGCGAGCGCAACACGATGCTATAAGGGCGGGTACGCGACGGAGTCTCCGCAGTGAGCGTCGCGACGCCTCCGCGGAGAGTGTTGCATGGATCGCACGTTCGGTAATCGCCGGTACACGAGGCGTCCCGCTCTCGTCGCGTATTACATTGGCGGTGTGCAGTGCCGAAGGAGTTGTTTCGCTTCTATCGAGCTGCGAGCCACCCCGAAGAGAAGAAGGGCGGCGCGACGGCGGTGTCCCGTACCATAGAACGCTGCTGCAGCTGCGTTTCGATCCGCCCGGAAGAGCTCTCTCTCTCTCTCTTTTTGGATGACCCAGGACGGACTCCACGCGCTGGAGCAACCAGGTTGGTTTTTATCGGATTCTCGGAGACATGAGAAATGCAAGAACGCGGGTGCTTGGAACCGGGTTGCGTTCTGCGAAGGGAACGATTCTGTCCTTTAGTAGAGCATGGAACATACGTCTCTCGCTGCGAGATTTTGCAGTGGCGCGTTGAATAATTGCCGGCATGAATGCGACAAGTGTAATTTATGCCCTATTCAATTTAGACGTGACATCATGAACGATAATGAAATAGGTGCAGAAGGCAGAGGAGCAAAGGCAAATCGTATTGTATAATTGTAAAGATAGTGTCATTCGGATTTTATCTATTCGAGACACGTATTTTCTTGGAAAATGACATGAGAGAGCTTTCTTCTGTAATCGCTTAAATGACATTCATGAAAATCACATTCAATCAAATCTCCGTTCTATTTTATCTTTTGGTCTCTTATTTCAATTTGCGATAAATTGAAGAGTATTAGATGTATATATTAATAACACATGAGAAATTAGATTAAAACATAATTACGAATTAAAGATTACAATCATATTATCGTTGAATTCTATTCATAATATGAGTATAAATTAATGGGTGGTGAATGCATGGCTTGATGAAATTGAAATATTTATTAACTATGATAATACGTTAGTGGAAGATAAGGATGAACGTTGCTAATGAGTAGCGGAAATTCGCAATGTCCTCGTTTATGTGTACCACGTACATACGTTACTGGGCTGGTAAATACGATT